CAAGAATTTTCCAGGAAAAAATTATTCGTGATGGAGTTCAAGCGTGATAGTGTGATTTCTTTATATTTGGCTGGAAAACCACAAGTGGCTATCGTTAGAGTACTCCAGCATTTAAATGCGAATAAATTTTTTGTGTTCCGTACCATCGCTCGTTACCGTAGCCGTGATACTGGTAGCTTAGCCAGACGTCAAGGAATTAGACCGAACAAAACAGCAACCTCAGCAGAAATGGTTCGAAAAGTAAAGAAGCGATCGAAACCCGCGACGGTGTGGACGAATAATGGCTAGTGAGCTTAACATATTGCAATATTCCATTCGTCAAATATTGAAAAATGAGCTCGGGGTAAAGCCATTGAAATTCCAAAAAGTGCAAGAACTTACACCACAACAGAAAGAAAATAGACTCAGAAGAGCTAAAGAGTTGCTTCGCTTGGCCGAAAGTGGTGAACTGCCGAGTTTGGTTTTCTCCGATGAGAAAACATTCGTTGTCCAGCAGTTTGTCAACAAACAAAATGACCGTGTTTACTTGCCAAAGAGGTCAGCTGAAAATGTGCACCTTCGGTTGGCCACCAGAACCCAAACCTCAAGCCGACCATGGTGATGGTGTGGGCCGACATAACAGCATTTCGCATCAGAATAAATGCCGAAAATTATCGCGAAAACATTCTGGAGGGTGTATTAAAGCCTTGGGCATGCAAACTTTTTGGCCGCAAACCTTGGACATTCCAACAGGACTCAGCACCATCGCACTCAGCACGCACCGCCCAAGAATGGTTACAAAATGAGGTTCCTCGCTTCATTTCCGCGCACAATGGCTACCTAAATCTTCGGATACCAATCCGTTGGACTATTGTGTCTGGAGTATTTTTGAAAACAAGGTTGGCACTAAAAAATACCAAAGTTTCGATCACCGAAAGCAAGCGCTTCGCCGGGAATGGGCCAAAATACCGCAGAGCAACATTCGGACAGCGTGTGACGATTTCATTGGCCATTTGAAGCCCACAATTCGTGCCAAAGGTGACCAATTCGAACAAATCTAAACTTATTCTAAAATTTGATGCTATTTCCGACATTTTTGCTTTCATTCAATAAAATTTAAAAAGATGTAAAAATTATGGTGTTTGACTGTGTTGCAGTTTATCGAGGATAAAGTCCTAGATGGTCCTAAAACAGCTGTTCCTAAAAATACACATTTAAATTTCTTTATGATTCTTAAAATAATTTTATACAAGTTGAAGTTAGAGCACTAGATGATTCTTAAAAAATATTCCTAGAAATCGAGAATTAAAAACGTTGAGGGTCTTGGAAAAAATATTTTTTTAAAAATCTATTCAAAGCCTGGAAGTTATTGTATAAAAATCCACTTCTGGAAAAAAACTATTAATTAAAATAGAACAGTGTGGCTTGTTTGTTCAGGATACCGTAGTATTTTGTTACTTGCCAAAGAAGAAACTCGGATACCAATCCGTTGGACTATTCTATCTAGAGTAATTTGGAAAGCCAAGGTTGGCACTAAAAAATACTTGAGTGTCGATCAGCTCAAGCAAGCGCTTCTCGGGGAATGGGCCATAATACCGCAGAGCAACATTCGGGCAGCGTGTGACGGTTTCATTGGCCGTTTTGAAGGCCATAATTCGTGACGAAGGTGATCAATTCGAACAAATCTAAACTTATTCTAAAATGTAATGCTATTTTCGACATTTTTTGCTTTCATTCAATAAAAATTTAAAAAAAATGTAAAAATTATGGCGTTTTACTTTGTTGCAGTTTCTTTATCTCACCTTGTATATGTGTATGTGCATGTATGTATAACATCAGAATCTAGTATGAGATTGAAAACATTTCTGTAATTTTCACTCCGGGGAAATTCAAAAGTTTTCCATCGCTGTCGCTTTAAATTGGGAAAGTCGTGGCATAAAATAACCGATTATCAGAAATCATTCTCTCGACTTTGTATTCGAGTGTTTGATCAATTACGAACCGAATAAAGGTAATGTTGTTCGCTGGATGATGAATTATTTTGAGGTAAGTGTATTTGTTTATGTACATCCTTCATTACCATAACCCCTAATCCATTCATATAACCTGTTGCAATCACCATGTACCTGCCAACGCATACTTTCTGCCCTTTAGTTCTTGGAATGAGAGTGTTGCGTTCTAATGACGAGGGCGTTTACTTAACAATCCATCCCACCTCCCCACCCCAAGAATTGTGGTATAATTAGAATTGGAGCAAACGTTAAGTATTATTTTCTATTGAGGGTTGCTCAACACGCTTTGCTTTTGTTGGTGTCAGAAAGTAGGTAATAGAATGACGAATAAAAATAATCAATAAAATTAAGTTTTATTGAAACACAAATAAAAATTATTCTATGTGAACACTAAAGGAAACGTGATTGAAACATGCAATGATTTTCGTAGACAAATATTCCAAAGGTCTCGGTGGTCTCTAATTGTATTTATATGTAACCAGATCCAAATACCGAAAAATTACACGGCTTTGAAAAATGATAGGTTAGTAGATTGATTTGTAAGTAGTTACGTTTGAAAATAACAGCCCAGAAACACCCCAAAATGTCATTTTAGTTCTTCCTTCCTTAGATCCCCCTAACAATTTTGTTCAACCCTTCATGTTGACCACTCCTAAAATAGTTCTTAAATTAGAAAAGCTTGTCCTGTACAAGCCTTTTTTTTTGAAAAAATAACTCCCTAAAGACAAACGTATGCGCCGCTACTTAAAAATGTCATACATATGCAATTAGAGGCGCCATATGTTTTACAAGGCATTCATTCATTGTCCCTTGAAGGATATTGTTCGAAATAACATGCTGCGCCCATGTGTTACCCATAAGCCAAACATATCGCCCACAAGTAAAACCCCCACAATAAACAAACCAATGTCAACATATGTTTATAAAACGGGTAAAATCCCAGCTCTGCATCATATTTGTAAGAGAGCTAATAAGAGAGCATGAGCCTTTTTTCTTATTGTTGCAAACTAAAGAGAAAAGACAGTCAGGTAGAAGTGGTATTCAGAAGTGGACATTCAGAAATGGTAATCTCATAAGAGAGTTAATGTGGGAGATAGCTCCTAATTATGAAATAAAAGAGAAACACCTGAAGGCGGGGATGGAAAGTCAAATATACCAAAAAAGGCCTACTTTTGTGCATACAACAGAAAATGAATTAACATTTTTAAGTGTGTTAAGTGTTCCAAGGATGATATTAGTAAAACCTTGGCACAATGGACCTACATCCAAATTTAGTACTGTTTAGTACTTTTCGTACATATATCTAAACATTTCCAAAATTACCTACATATCTCAATTCCAGATGCCAACAGAGAGCTCAATATCAAATTTAGGAATTCCAAACCTATCTCTTCACCCCATGCCTAATTTAGTACCATTTAGTACTTTTCGTACAATTATAATACGCATGTCGGAAACCACCTCCATATGTCCAAGCTACACATGAACAAGTCACTTATACCAAATTTCAAACTGCAAGCTCTATCTGTTCACCCAATACCAATTTGTACCAAATTTAGTACCATTTAGAACTTTAAGAACAACTATGATACACATTATATAAACCAGCGCCTTCTCCCAATCAAGACACTAACAGTGACATCTATATTAAATTTCAAGTTTTTAGCTCTACTTTAGTACTTTTCGTACAAAAATAGTACACATTTCCAAAACCATCTCCATATCTAAATTCCAGTTGCCAACAGAGACCTCAACGTCAAATTTAGGGATTCCAGACCTATCTCTTCACCAATACCAAATTGGTACCACATAGTACATTTCGTACAATTATAGTACTAATTTCGGAAACCACTTCTACATGTCCAGGCTACACATAAACAAGACCGTAATATCAAATTTCAGGCACTATCTGTTCACCCAATACCAAATTGTACCAAAAATAGTACGATTTAGTACGTTTTGTGCACTTGTTGCACACATTTCCAATACCACCTGTTTATCACAAGCCAACTACCAACAGGGACCCTATTACAAAATTTTAAAGTTACAGCTTCATCTGTTCACTGTAAACTAAACTGTTCCGAATTTAGTACCACTTGGTACCGTTCGCACACTTAGTACACATTTTCAAACTTATTTTCCAACCTTGATTCTCAAAAAAAATCAGATTTTTGCTTTATGTATTCACATAATACCAAATGTTACCATTTTAGAAGTTTAGAATAGATTTAGAACTTTTCGTAACATTTAAGTTCGATTTTCACAGACTCTTTGGCTCAGCAATCGTGTACTCCATCAGTAACTCTCATTGCAAATATCAGAATTCTAACTTGTTTCCATGGTAGAACTAAAAGGTATAGTCACATGTTTAAAATTGTTATTTACAAATCCATTGTATATAGCCAAATCAGCGATGGGAACTTGATTTAAGCAGTTAAATTTGACAATTAAATTACAGGAAATGCAGAGCTGGGAGTAATTATATGAAATGAATTTACCTTCTTGTCCAATACATAGTTTTCCATTTTTAGTAATTTTCGTACCATTTTAGTAAAATTTCCAAAAATCCAGCCTTATCAAACGCCTACGCTAAAAGGTTGACCTTCGTGCAAAATTTCAAGATTCTAGATCCGTCAGTCAGTTGTTTCACTATAAAATTATGAATCGTACTATTATAATTATTATTATTATTTTTTAATACTTTCCTATAGCTCTTAATAAATCAGCCTTTACTACTATTCACGTGGTACAATCCCGCCAACACACGTTCCAACATATGTTAAATTAGTACGAAACTCACCATATAAATATTGCTTCTTTTTGAATATTTCATAAGCAATTTTACAGTTCCCAGCCCTGGTAAACACTTTAGAGAGTCTAAAAGAGAACCATCTCCTTATTACAAAATTAAAAGAGAGCGGGAGAGAGAGAGACCGAAATTAGCCGGCAGGAAAATAAAAATAAACAAAAATTGAACTACGGATGGCGATTTGTTGGCTCTGTTGTTGATGGCGGATGACGACATAGGCCGGCCACATTGTGCGGAAGACATTTCATTTTCTCGAATCATGCCTGGGAAATACGTACGTTGTTTGTGTAAAATTACTGCTGTCGGTGTGTGTTTTCCTCACCCATCATTTTCCTCTGGGCCATAGCACCGCACAAGTTTGCCTGTGGCATACATAGCAGCTAATAGACAGACCGAGCGACTCTCTGGGAAAAACAAAAATTCGCATTTTTTGAACGCAGCCAGTCCAACGGGCAGTCTAACTAGTCAGTCACATTCTGTAACTCAACACAACAGCAGCAGCAGCAGTAGTATTTTTCCTCCCGAACCAAAAACAAAACGAAGCATCTATTTTAAGTCCAAGACAACAATGTTCGAGAAAATTATTTTCGATTAATTTCACAATATTTTTAATAGAACGCATGTTTTACACGATTTGCAAGGATTTGGTAATTTTTTTAAAAAATTGAATTACCTGTGGACCTGGCCATGGATGTTCCCGAATTACCAAAGGAATCCATTGAGAGATTGAGAAAACTATTGAAATCATGGCGTTTGGAGTTTCTTTTGGAACAATTTATTGGTAAGTAGCTGTGTGTTGTGTGTATTTTGTTTTCATTTTCTTGAGGGGGAGGGGGGATAATTGTGTGAGGTCACGGTTTTGAGTTTGTGTTCTTGTCGTTGTTGGCTAGAGGGATTCTGTGCAGGGGGATGATATTCTGTTGATATCAGGAATGTATCCAAAACAATTGAGAAATGGAAAATTGTTTAGCACAAAACAAGTGTCCTCGATAATGTAATTAACATATGTAATGTGTAAAGTTAACAGTAATGTTATAAGGTAACGGTTACTTGCTAACATTTTTATGATGGTTAACAGAACCACAATTAAATGGAGGGGGATTTAGACTAAGCAATTACTGGGTGAGATAAAAAACAGTAAAGAAAGTTTTTAAGTCGGGCGGGGCCGAGAATTCAACCATACAATTAAATTATGGGAGAATTCAATCATACACGCCATGATTATGATTATAATTTAAAGTTCAAAGGACTAAATATGCCGAAGCATTTGTATATTTTAAATTCGGACTTGTAGTGCCCATTTAGTGCACAATTAATTTGAAATCGGATAAAGATATATATGGCAGATATATCCAAATCGGAACCGATTTCGATAAAATTTGGCAAAGATATTTCTAAGCTGTATTTGATATATTTCCCTGAATATCGTTGTTACGGAGTGCATATTACGGTTGTGGGTAACAAATATAACAAATCGGATGCACATTATATATGGGAGCTATAGCTATATCTGAACCGATCTTCACCAAATTTGACATACTAGCTTCTAGACTCAATTCGGTCGCATGTGCCAAATTCCATCCCATTTGGTCAAATATTAGACGTTTGGTGCACAATAAAAGGTAAATCGGACGAAGTATGTATGGGAGCTATATCCAAATCTGAACCGATCTCGATAAAATTTAGCAAAGATATTTCTGAGCTGCATTTGATATATTTCCCCAAATATTATTGTTACAGAGTACATATTACGGCTGCGGAGGACTAAAATAACAAATCGGATAAACAATATATATAGGAGCTATAGCTATATCTGAACCGATTTCGATAAAATTTGGCATACTTATTTTCAGGCCTAATCTGATCGTACGTGCAAAATTCCATACTATTCGGGCTATTATTGCACGTTTGGTGCACAATAAAAGGCAAATCGGACGAAGATATATATGGGAGCTATATCTAAATTTTTACCCATAATCTCCAATTTCAATAGGGTTCGTCCTTGGGCCAAACCAATGATTTGTGCAAAATTTCATCTTAATCGGATAATAAATGCGACCTGCATTTTGTTCACAAGAATACATAGACAGACGGACGGATAGACTGACATGCATAAATCAACTCAGAAAGTGATTCTATGGAGATCCTCAAAAGTAACTATGGGTCTATCTCGCTTCCTTCTCCTTGTTACAAACAAATGCACAAAGACATAATACCCTTACCACTATGTGGTGTAGGGTATAAAAACTGCAACAAAGTCAAACGCCATAATTTTTGGGTGGCGCCTGCTGAGTGCAATGGTGCTGAGTCCTGTTGAAATGTCCGAGGTCTGCGGCCAAAACGTTTGCGTGCCCAAGGCTTTAATACACCCTCCAGAATATTTTCGCAATAATATTCGGCATTTATTCTGATGCCACGGTCCGCTCGATTAATGCGAGCTGAGAGCGACCATCGGCTGTTATGGCGGCCCACACCATCATCATGGCCGGCGCTTGAGTTTGGTGGCTAACCGAAGGTGCACATTTTCAGCTGACCTCTTTGGCAAGTAAACACGATCATGTTTACAAACGGTTGGACAACGAATGTTTTCTCATCGGAAAAAACCAAATTCGGCAGTTCCGCTGCCACTTTCGGCCAAGCGAAGAAACTCTTTAGCTCTTTTGAGTGTATTTTCTTTCAGTTGCGGTGTAAGTTCTTGTATTTTTTGGAATTTCAATGGCTTTACCCCGAGCTCATTTTTTAATATTTGCCGAATGGAATATTGCGATATATTCAGCTCACGAGCTGGGTTTCGGCCACTGCGACGCGGGTTTCGATCGCTTCTTTACTTTTTGAACCATTTCTGCTGATTTTGCTGTTTTCTTCCGTCCACTTCCTAGACTTCGGGCTACGCTATCAGTACTGGACACAAAAGATTTATTCACATTTAAATGCTGGAGTGCTCTAACGAAAGCAACTTGTGGTTTTCCAGGCAAATCACGATTCAATTTCATCACGCATAACTTTTGTTCTGAAAAATGCTCACGAAAATGCTTTTGTACGCTTGTAAACAATATAATGATCTGTCACTGAAATAATTTTAACAGCTGTCGGACGAGTGGCTTAGAAATGACAGCCGTTTGAAATGGGTTGCAGTTTTTTAATCTCACCCTATACTGTAACCGAATATTAAACCATTTTTCTCCCCTCCTTTACAGATGAAAAAATCGATGAAGAAGTCTTGCAAATGATCGATGCCACCCACATAGACCTGCTGCTACACAAATATCCAATGGGAGTGCAAATACGTTTCTCACACAATTTGGAAAAATGGCGCCGAAATATTGGCAAACCTTTGAGGGCAACCTATTTCAGGGAGTTCTCCACAACCCATTTGAATACCAAAGAAATCTATGGCGAATCTACGTGTCCACAAACCACCACATTGCCCATGGAAGATAAAGGCTATCAGTCGTCTGAAATTGCCGCCAGCCCAGAGGATAATATTAGTATAATATCCAATGAAATGTCTTCGTGGAAAACGAGCAGTGAAGATCTTTCAATTATTACTGGAAAATCCAAAGACATCCAAGGAAAAACAAAAAAATCCAGCAAAATTGATTTGGAGGAAATCCTAACCAACTCCCCACCAAATGGCCCGGATCTGATTGAACTCTATCGCAAGCAAAAACATTTCAATCATCTTGATCGCAAACGTTTAATAAGCACCATTGTCAATTATTATTTGGAATGTAAGCTACCCATGGATCTGGCCACCAGTTATGATTTGGAAAATGCCATCCTTAAAATGTTTCCAAATGAAAATTTACGATTATATCGTTCAACGAAATATGGGAAAATTATTTGCCGCTACAATCGGGAAATGAAAAAGGAAAGGGAATGCGAAGAGATGCGTGAGAGGGGTGTAAAAGACAATAATGCTTTGGATATGTCCCAGTATTTGCCAAATGAATCATTTCTAATGGATGAAAATGATTCGGAAGATCCTGAAGCGAATGTCTTGATTAATCATGAGTGAGTGGAAATTTTAAAAAGAAATTGAAAAATTAATAAAATTAATATTATTCTTTACAGTATTCTAATACAAACCGTCCACCAAGGCCAAAAGAAGTTCACCAAAATTCGTACACCGTTCTTCTACAATAGCTTTCTCACAACTGGTAAGTAGGGAGTTTTATTAGGATTAAAGCAAGCCTGACAAAAAAATATTTCAAAGGCTTTTGTGGATAGAAGAGCTTTCGCATAAGTCCAGTTCTACCAGAGGTCTTCCATAGGTAGCCATTAGACGAACTGCAATAGATCTCCCACTCATTGCAAAACTTCAAAAAGTCTCTCATAGATCCAAGACCTTAATGAGGGTCTTCTATAGATATTAGATTTTTATGGAGTCATATGTTGATAACATATCCTCTACAGATAAAGGACCCCAACAAATCTTTCGTAGATAGACTGCCCCTGACGTGCCTTCAATAACTTGAGGAGTTTTTACAGAACTTTTATGGAAAACAGAGCTTTACTAGGATATCGGAGTTTTAGAAAGTTCCTTTTTGAGCGGAAGACCCCTTGAAAACTTCCTTGAAGACGGAAAATCTCGTATAAAAATAACATATTTTTTAAGCTCTCCTATGGATGGAAGTTATTTTCCATTGTAGAAGAACCTTCGAAGCTCCTCTATAGATAGGATTCCTTTTAAAGCTCTTCCATACATAGAACACCTTTTAAAGCTCTTCTATACATCGATGACCTCTTAGAGCTCATCTATAGATAGGCTCTATAAAGCTCTTCTATAGATAGAAGACCTTTTAAAGCTCTTGTATAGATAAAGGACCTTTTTAAGCTCTTCTATAGATAGAAGACCTTTTAAAGCTCTTCTATAGATATAAAACCTTTTAAAGCTCTTCTATAGATAGAAGACCTTTTTAAGCTCTTCTATAGATAGAATACCTTCGAAGCTCTCCTATTGATAGAAGACATTCAAAGCTCTCCTATAAATAGAAGATCTTTTAAAGCTCTTCTATAGATAGAAGACCTTTTAAAGTTCTTCAATAGAAAGAAGACCTTTTAAAGCTCTTCTATAGATAGAAGACCTTTTAAAGCTCTTCTATAGATAGAAGACCTTTTAAAGCTCTTCTATAGATAGAAGATCTTTTAAAGCTCTTCTATAGATAGAAGACCTTTTAAAGCTCTTCTATAGATAGAAGACCTCTGAAAGCTCTTCTATAGACAGAAGACCTTTGAAAGCTCTTCTATAGACAGAAGACCTTTTAAAGCTCTTCTATAGATAGAAGACCTTTTAAAGCTCTTCTATAGATAGAATACCTATTAAAGCTCTTCTATAGATAGAAAACCTTTTAAAGCTCTCCTATAGATAGAAGACCTTTTACATCTCTTCTATAGATAGAAGACCTTTAAAAGCTCTTCTGTAGATAGAAGACTTTATAAGATGTTCTATACATAGAAGACCTTTTTAAGCTCTTCTATAGATAGAAGACCTTTTAAAGCTCTTTTCTAGATAGAAGACCTTTCAAAGCTCTTCTATAGATAGAAGACCTTTCAAAGCTCTTCTATAGATAGAAGACGTTTTAAAGCTGTTCTATAGATAGAGGAGCTTTAAAAGCTCTTCTATGGATAGCAGATATTTTAAAGCTCTTCTATAGATAGGGACCTTTTAAAGCTCTTCTAAAGATAGGAGGCCTTTTAAAGCTCTTCTATAGATAGAAGGCCTTTTACAGCTCTTCTATTGATAGAAGACCTTTAAAATCTCTTCTATAGATAGAAGACCTTTTAGAGCTCTTCCATACATAGAAGACCTTTTAAAGTTCTTATATACATAGAAGACTTTTGAAAGCTCTCTTATACGTCTTCTATGTACACTATTCTGTACATTACAGCTATTCTGTACATAGAGGATCTTTTAAGCTATTCTATAAATGGAAGACCAATTTTAGGTCTTCTCCAAATAAAAGACGTTTTAAAGCTCATTTGTAGATCAAAGATTTTTAAAAGCTTTTCTATAGATCAAATCCGTTCAAAGCTTTTCTATGGATTGAAGATAATTCGAAGCTCTTCTGTGGATACAAGCTCTTCCGTAGACCTTTCATTGACACATAAAGTCCCATGTACCCAAAACCTTTTAATTCTCTTCTCGGAATAGAGGACTTGGGAAAGCTCTTCTAAGTATACCCTTAAAAGACAATAGACATCTCAATTAAATGTAGGCCTTTAGAAAAGCTTTACAGCTTCCCCTCATAAAGAGTTTTTGAGTTTGGGAATTTGGGTAAAAGAGCTTTTATATCTTTCAAATATTAGAAGAGCTTTTCCAGCCTTTATCGGTATAGAAGAGCTTTTAAGATAAATAAGGTTTTCTATTGATAGCAGAGCTTTTACGTTATTTCTGAGGATGGAAGAGCATTTACATGTATTTTATGAGTAGAAGAGCTTTTAAGGGAATTTTATGAATTCTGTGGATAGAAGCCCTTCTAATGGTTTCCCCAGAAAACTTTTACATCTCCTCGAGAGATATAACTTTTTCCCCTATATTTTTAATTGTCTATATTTTTTGTCTTCTTCCAGCCTGTGAAAATTTCAACATTACCAATGTTAACGATTATTGCCTGCATATAAATGGCTGCGAGATTGAAGAAGATCGTTTTAAAAATTTCATTTTAAAATTTTACAAATCTCCAACATTTAGCATAGAATTGAAATCAAAATTGAATGCTGAAGATAAACTAGATTTATCGCAACATTTGCCGGATGTGGAATATATAAAAAATATACCAGCCCTTGTGCCATTGGTGAAAATGTATAAGGCCGGCAAAAGATTGGAAAATGCCGATCGTACCACCATAGCCAAGAGTGTGATCGATGAGTGTTTGAAAATTAATCCAGGGCGAGTGTAAGTGGAGATTTGAAAAATCAAAAAAATATTTTTTAATCAATACATAATTTTTATTTTTTAGGTTAAAGAAGTCAGATTTTTTGATTTTGACAAAAGCCATATGCGAGCTATTTCCCACTGAAGTTCCGTCCACCTATTATATACCCTGTCAGAATTCCAATCCAGCTAGAGGCAAACTATTCTATACCTATGCCAATAAACGTTCTCTTTTGTACTCCACGGGACTCTTGGCACCAAAACCTCGGGAGAAACGTAAAATATCGTCGCTCTCCGATTTGGAGGATAGTGACAAATCTCATGACGACGATGATGCCAGGGAACGCCCATCCAGACGCAAACGTTTGAAGGAATCTAAAGAATTTTCCATTCACACTCCACTCGACATGGAAACACTAATGGATAAATGGCAAGAGTGCCATGAAAGGAGGCGTGAAGAACTTATGAACGGCATCCTGACACCCAAGAAATATATGAAAAAATATACCATACTGCAGGGGGAACGAGGATTGCGCCTCATCGAATTGGATGTTCGTGAGCTGTATCCCAATATGGAGAGTATTGAGACATGGTTGATTTTGTACGAAAAAGTCGTGGCCAAAGTAAGGTCTGTGAAGAAGATAGAACATGTGCAGAAAATTCTGTGGGATATTGATGCTTCAGAGGATATAAGTAAGTGGAGGGTGGATATTTGGAGGATTTAAAATATATGTATTTTTTCTTCCTTTATTTTCCAGGATATCGGGCAAGTTTGGCTTTAGACCTTCTAGTCTACATATTTCCCAGCTGTGGTCGTGTCTCAAAACCGGAAGTGCAGAATCGCTTTCTTAAACAATATCAGGTACGTATGGGGTTACAACGAGACTATCTAGGTAAGGTCTAGGGAAGTTTCTCTTTAAATTGAATGCCTAGGAAGGAGTTTTAATCCATATAAATCCTGTGCAATTTTCCCTATACTCCGACCCGAAGAAATATCTCGCATAGAAGACTTGGAGATACCATATATATAGGACCTAAATATTCAATGTTCTGCCGCCGGAGCTAGGACCCCTTATGACCTACAAATACCAATTTTTAGACAAATCCGTGAAAGAATAATCAAAATACCGAATATCGGGAGGTACCGTTTTATGGCGGCTATACCAGAACGTGGCCCGATACATACAATATTTCGCCACCAGGGTTCATACCCATTGTGACCTACAAATACCAATTATTAGACAAATCCGTTGAAAAATGTGGCAAAAATCAACAAAATACCGAATATCGGTAGGTACCGTTATATGGCGGCTATACCAAAACTTTGCCCGATACTTACAATGTTTCGCCACCGGGGCTAGAACCCATCATGGTCAACAAATTCTAATTTTTAGACAAATCCGTGAAAAAATGTGGCGAAAATCATCAAAATTCCGAATATCGGGAGATACCGTTATATGGGGCCTATACCAAAACGTGGCCTGATACATACAATATTTCGCCACCAGAGTTAGTACCCATTGTGACCTACAAATACCAATTTTTAGACAAATCCGCGAAATAATGTGGTGAACATCATCAAAATACCGAATATGGGGAGGTACCGTTATATGGCGGCTATACCAAAACGTTGCCCGATACATACAATGTTCCGTCACCGGAGCTAGAACCCATTACGAACTACAAATACCAATTTTTAAACAAATCCGCGAAATAATGTGGTGAACATCATCAAAATACCGAATATCGGGAGGTACTGTTATATGGCAGCTATACGTGGCCCGATATATCTCATTTTCAATACCAAACATCCTGACACAATACAAATTGTTCTGCGAAATTTTGAAGCTCTACATGGCTTTTGGCGAAAACATTATAGAGGACGCCAAATTAAAGATTTTTTGGATAGGAATTGCAGAAGAAACCATTAAAATACCTAAATTCAGAAGGGAATTATATCCTAGGTAAAAAATCAATGCTAGTGCGAAATTTCACTGATATCGCGATTTTAAGGAGGGTATAAAAAATCTATGTCCAGAAGACCTTGAAAAATTCTCTATCTCTAAAAAAACCCCGTAAAGGTCTGTTTTCCCTAGAAGACCTGAGCAATCTATCCTAACTCTATAAAACAAATATAAAGTCTATATATTTTTTTCTCCCAACTTAGAAAAATTCTTGTTTATCTGTTCGCCTAATTAATCGCAAATGTATACCCCTCTCTCTCTCTCTCTCTCTTACAGAGCATGGAATCGCTGCTAAGTGACGGCTGCCCCCAGGAGCTGCAACTACGTTACGTCCATCAAAATCACAAAATTGTCTATGCCGATTTCATGGCCTGTGGTGGTTACATTTTCAAATTTCATGACCTGCTCGATGCCTTGACCCATTGTTTCCACTACATTAAGGCCCTGAATTTGGAATATCCGAAAATCTCACTGTATCTTTGGCAATTTGTACAACTGGCCATATTTCAAATCGACATTGAATCAGGTCAATTAACACAAATCGAAAGTACTCTGAACGATTTGCTACAAGTGCCAACAACTATGGAAATCTAGACCCTGAATAGATAAATAGGAAAATATAGTTTTAGACTAAAATGTTATATAGAATTGTATTTTTATATATGTTGATGTTTTCATGTATTTATATACCTATTCCAATGTGTGTTTTTATAGACTGAATGTTATTTTGTGAAATAGCAAAAAACAACAAATAGACACAAAATCCTCCAATTTATAAAACAAGTGCCGATAAATGTTAAACGTATGGAACACAATTATTTATAGAGTAAATATATATTTAAATGTATACTGTTATAAGAATATATAGAAATGTTATTGAAAACCAAATCGTCTTTTAATTTCGATTTTTTTTTTGCTCGGGAATTTGAATCTCTGAAAATCTCGTAGAAGATCTGCTTTTCATAGAATGCCTGAGATAGTTCATCGATCATAATCAGACCTCCAAAATATTCGATCGGATTTTTACAAAGAGTGAAACTTACTCGAATTCGAGATGGAAGGAGCAAACTTATCTTTTCAATGTCACTCGAATAGGAGAGAGCATATTTTTCTCTTTATTGAGTCAAAGTAAAATTCGTTCAAAATCGAGCAGATTTTACTTTGGCCGACTTTTCTTGTAGATTTTGTCTTCCCCCTCTTCTACACACACATGTCAGAAAACAAAATATTTTTTCCCAATCACTTACCCTGTTAGAGAAAACTCCTGTTTTATTTTGAGAGATTCTGCTTCCACTCTATTTTCCCAAATATGAGTGACTCGGTAGTACTGCCACACAAAACAAAAGAGCAAAAACACCCACTCTCCGAGCAAACCTGCTCGCGAGCAAGTTTCGCTCTCAAGTGAGAATGAGCAGATCTTTGATGAGATCATAATATTGTGATCTCACGAAATACCTTATTAATCTGTTTGGGAATATGCTGGCCTGGAAGCTCCATTTCAAATATATTCGAGCGGTATTCTCCTCGCTTATGCTAGAAATGTGTCAACCGAATTCAGTTTCAAATTGGCGGGCCATAGACTTCTTCTTTGTTTTTAAACCCTCCACCAGCGGGCCATAGACTTCTTCTTTGTTTTTAAACCCTCCACCATAGTATGGAGGGTATATAAAGTTTGTCATGCCGTTTGTAACACATCGAAATATAATGTATATTAATTATACATTAAAGCCCACAAAGTATATATATTCTTGATCAGCATAAAATTCTATGCTGGAAATCACTCTAGCTTCCGAACGAAATCATACAATTTTACTCAAAGGTATGTTATGTCTGCAGGACTTTTGGTATTAAAAATGGGTAGGGTATAGCCCCCATATTATGGTACCTCTCGATATTCGGTACTTTGATGATTTTAGCGACAATATTCACCGGAATTGTTTCAAATTTCGTTATGTTATTTCGTAATGGGTACTACAGCCTGTGACAGAAAATTGTCTGTGCATGTCCACGTTTTCGTGTAGCCCCCATATAACGGCACTTCCCTATATTCGGTATTTTAATAATTTTAGCGACATTATTCACCGGAATTGGTTCATATTTCGCGTTTGATTTTCTAATAGGTACTACAGTGTATGATAGAAAATTGTCTATACAGATCCAGGTCCTCGTATAGCCCCTAAATATCGGTACCTCCCTATATTCGGTATTTTGATGATTTAAGCGACCTTATTCACGGGTATTGATTCAAATTTTGTATTTGAAGTTCCTAATGATAACTACAGTCTGTGACAGAAAATTGTGTAAGCAGGTCTTCGTATAGTACCTAAATATCGGTACCTCCCTATATTTGGTATTTTTATGATTTTAACTACATTATTCACCGGAATTGTTAAAATTTCGTATTTGCACTTCGTAATGGGTAATGTGTACATCCTGTGACAGAAAATTGCAGGTTCACGTCGTATAGACCCCAAAAAACGATAACTCTCTATATACCGTATTTTTAAGGTTTTAACAGAATTTATAACGCATTCAATTTTTTATTTATTTATTTATTTATTATAATTTTTTTTTTTTTGAAAATTTCCAAATCCTTTCCAAATGGTGGAGGGCATTCAAAGCTCGGCCCGTCCGAATTTACTGCCTTTTTACTTGTGTTTTTTTTTTCAACAATTTTCCCGTTGAAATATTCTGCACATTATCCACAAGTAAATTGCATATTATCCGCTGTTTCGTTTTTACAGCTTGAGACATTTATGTTGGGCGCCATGTTTTATTTATCTATTTTTAGCGAGGTCTTCTACACAATTTCTCTACTAACTATATGCATTCAAGATCGGTAAAAAGGCACGTTACCAGGGGAAAAGTCTGGGGGAACTCCTCTACCCATAGAAAAACAAAAAAAAAGAATTTTTATCCAATGAAGGTCTCCGAAAAATCGTTTACAGAAAAGCTGGAAAACTAGGTTCATCTTAACATTTGTACCAATCTTAGATCGATTTTTTAAATCGGAAATATCGGTTAGCCCATTCAAGTATATTCCCTGCACTGCCTGCAAAATTCTCGTATAAAGCGAGGAGATTGTATAATTAATAGATATAAAACTTATATCAGATTCCAAAATGTACACCCAAAAGAGAGTCGAATTTCTGAATAACAAAAGTCTCTCCGCAATTTAAATATTTTTGATCATTATTAAAATGTCTCTCTCTATCTCTTAACTAGTGAAAAGGGCATTGGGTTCGCTCGGGCCGAACATTTTTATGTCCTCAGCCTTGTGAAAATCTGACTTAAAGGAAATTTCGTAGAATTTTGAAAAATATTGCATATATCTTGAGAAGAGTAAATTTGCTAACGAAGATCCCGAAATGACAATTTACAGCTGATTTAATTGGGAATCGGAGCCATCACCATCAATATGTGCGGCTGTGCCAAAAAGTAGACCAACATTAACTATATTTGCGAAGAGTTAAATGGAGAAACCCCTAATGCCAAAATATGGGCCGACTATTTGGTGTACCTGCTCCAATTACGTAAAATCATATATATCCACATTTGGGCACAGACTAGCTATGTCGTGTCTATGGTAGTGGTCCCAACCCATCACCCCTACTCCAGACATGGGCGCCATACTGTTTCATGTCTGGAGAAGGGGTGTTGGGTTGGGACCACTTCCAAGAAGGCGACATAACTAGTCGGTGCCCATGTGAAAATTGCCTCCTATAACATGACATGTAACAATATAGCCGAAATCAGTGTCATATTTTCTCCAAACCTCGCACATTCCTATAACTAAGGGCCTAATGCCTGTTTAAAGGACTTTTACAAGTATTCTGGCCTTTACAAATATTCGATAGCCTTTACAGATCTTCTAAAGACAGAGGAGCCCTTATGGACCTTTTGATAAAGTGGACCTTAAATAGTTCATTTTTAGACAGTAGTCCCTTTGCAAGCCACTTTAAACAAAATAGGGTCATTAACAAATATTTTATACTCAGAATACTTCTGTCTCTTTTTTTATAAACGGAAGACCATTTGCTGAACATCTGTAGCCAGAACAATCTTTAAAGGTCTTCTCTAGGCAAAAGGTCTATTTGTAACTTTCTATGGCAGAAGACTCTTTACAGGACCCTTGTAAGCAGATGATCATTTGCAAGGCCTCTATAGACAGCAGACGAATCACAAGTCTTTTATACACAGAATATTCTTTATTGGTATTCTATGGATTGGAAAACCATTTTAAGGCCCCCACAGGTCTTCTATTTAGATAGGGCTTTTAAACCAATTTCATATCGAGATAGGCCACACACACATCTTCCATACGGAGACCACTCTTTTACTGATATTTTATTATCAAAGGCATAGAAGAACTTTCCTAGGTCTTAAATGGGGAAAATTTTAATTGGAAAATTCCAAAATAAAAATTCAATGTTTTTTTACCTATGACGACACTTACATATTTTCCATTTAGAAAATCCATGCCTTCCATTGGAAAATCCACTTGTTTGCATCAGCTGTAAACATATGGAAGCGCCCATACATGCAATGTTTGGACAGGTAAAAAGAGAGTTCACTGCATCTCTCAACATGTGCTGCACACATTGCTAAGAGAAACAAACAAAATAATGACTCTCTTTACAAAAGTGAGTAGCAAAACAAAACCAACAATTCCGCGCCAATTCTTCTTTGGCAAAATGTTTTTGTTTTTAATGTCGTTCTCTTTGTGGAAACATTCGTGTGTCCAGCTGTTTTTTGTGAGGAAGCGTCGATTGACTGGCTGGTGGTGGTGTTTTCTTATTCTCTTGGAAGCTATTCGAGAAGGCTGACGACGCTCGGTGACGGTCTAACATTTTCCAAATAATTTTTGGCATAAAAATAGATTTGTGTTTTGTTTTATTGATTTATTTAATTTACTTGTGTTGTTTTGCAAGCGGCTGAAAGGTATGCATTTATTTTATGAATATTCTAGGAAAATTGTTCATAATTTTGAAATTTGATAGGTAAAGTGTTTTGCAGTATTGATGTGTTAATATTTCTCAAACAAATAATGGATAATAACGCCAATCGTCGAATGCCTCCGGGAGAAGATATCAACAAGCTATTGAAAGAATGGAAACTCGAGTGTATTTCATCACATTTACAAGGTAAGTGAAATATTTTTTGAATATTAGAATCATAGGCATTAAGACTAAATTCATAAACATTAGGTATTCATTTCCTTATTTACGTTGTAAGGGTTGTCATATTGCTAAAGTTTTCATGGGGAAATTAGATTTTGAAATGGAAGAAATTATAGGAGATTATCAACATATTTAATAAAACGAAGACAAAATAATGTGGAAAAGAGAGGAGGAAGAAGTAGGAAATAAGGATTTGCCTACTAGTTAAACTTCAAATCCGTCTGGGAAAATTAAATTTAAATATTCCTATACCCTCAGCCATATGGCTACAGATGGTATATATCGTGTAATAGGCTTGTCATCGAAATAATGGTCTAAGACCCTAGGTCTATTTGGACAAAATCCGTTTCACGACATTTGGAGTCGATCTAGGTGTTTCCCTATGTCCGTCTGTCTGGCTGGCTGTTGTATACGATAACTCTCGAAGGGAGTATCCGATTTGGTTCAAACTTGGTACATCGTAATATGATTACCAAACTTAAATCGAGTTCGAAGGTGGGCAATATCGGTCCACTCCTTATAACTCTTTTAAAATGTGATGTAAGAGTCCGATTGGCTTCAAATTATAACATCGCAGTATTTTTATTAACTCAAGGTCTGGTTAGAAGATGGAATATATTGGTCCACCCCTTCTTGTACCTCCCAAACAAAATGTCAACATTTTCAAAGAAAATAATTTACTGCACAGAAAGTGAAAGGATAATCCGATTTTGCCTCAACTTTGCAAAACCTAATATTTTCATCAGTGCTAGGTCAGGTGCAAAAAACGGACAATACCGGTCCACTCCATTAAGTAAGTGTGATGTAAGTGTCCAATTTTCTTCAAATGACACACATCACAATATCGTTATTAACCCAAGATCTGGTGTGAAAATGGAGTATGTTGGTCCACTTCTTCTGGTACCTCCACCTCAAAGGATTAACAATTTGAATATATATTAAGCTCATAAAACACGATATCAACATCCAATTCCATTTAGGCTTGGCACATGCCAATATTTCCATAAACACAAGTTTTGTGATAATGATAGTAGAGATCTGGTACCTCCCCCACAGAGGGTCAAAGTTTTGAATAACCAAAACGATCCTAAAATTCGAAATAAGCATTCAGTTCTCTTCAAATTACACACATCACAATATATTTATTAACCCAAGGTTTGCTCTGAAAATGGGAAATATCGGTCAACTGGTTTAGTACCTCCCCCAACAAAAGGGTCGAAATTTTAAATATCCATGAAGCTCATAAGCTCGCTAAATTAATATCCGACTCCATTCAGACTTGGTACATCTCAATATTTCCATAAACACAAGATGTGTTATAAAGATGGTACAGATCGGACTATTTCTTCTGGTACCTCCCCCAGATAGGTTTCCAAATTTTTGAATAAGAAAGAAAGAAAGCGAAAATGAAATGCAAACATTTTTGCTAAAACACGATCTGATGTGAAGAGGATATAGATCTGCGAGCCCCTTCTGGTAACTCACCCACAAAGGATCACAATTTCCAATACTTTTATTTGTCATAACTTGCGAAACAAGTCAGCGATTCTTTACAAGTTGCTACATCTATTTATTTCTCTCAACTAGAAACCTGAGATGAATATGGAATTTAAAATTGGATATAAATGTTCGAATTTCTTGTAATTTTGCCCATACCAATATTTGTATCTGTATTAGATGAAATATGAAAATTGAATAATTCGGCTCGCTATACCACACGCATATTTCCACATTTTCCAAAAATTTGCAAATATCTCATGTAAAGTATAGGAAGTAGTCGATATAGTCCAAATCTGGAACGTTGTAATATTTATATTAGTCTTAGATCACAAACGAATTGGTCAATATAGGCCTACTGCTTCGGAACCTCCCTCATAAAGGGTCAACAGTTTAAATAGTCATAAGTCAAGGCTATACATCTGTCGACAAAACCGACTGATACTCTTTTACTTGTTTTATTTTGGAGTTATTCTTTCCAATTTCTACCCAAATCCGCAATTTGACATTTCGTGTTTTCGGTGGATAGTTTAACTCCTCGAAAATAATGTTATTCCTCTTTTTGTTAAGTGGCCCCAAATTTTCGGTATTTTAAAGATTTCTGTGCCAATTTCAAACAAATTAACTGCACTTTGACATTACGCGTTAACCGTGATTAATTTAACACCTCTCAGTCAAATTGTCAGTCCATGTTTTGATTTAGCCCCATATAACGATTTCATTCGATTTTTGTAATATTGAATATACTGTCTCAAATTTCCAAATTTCGGATTCGGAATACCAATCTAAATCCTCTAAAAAACATGCAAAATAGGTGAATTTTTTGGGTTAACACCCATATTAATTTAATTTTCGATTTTTCAAAGGGTTTGGTCCCGATTTCCAACTTACGTTACGATTTTACGTTTTGTTTTCTTTGGGGGTAGATTAGTTTCTCTCAAAGAATAATCAATGTAGGTCCACTTTTTTACATAGCTCCCTAACAGTACCATCCAAACAACCATATTTATTTGATTTTCGATTTTTCAAAGGGTTTGGACCCGATTTCCAATGCTGCTGTTTTAGATTTTGTTTTCTTTGGGTTAAATTAGCTTCTCTCAAAGAATAATCAATGTAGGCCCACTTTTTGATATAGCCCCCTAACAGTATCATCCAATTGTTGGATTTTTTTTTTTTGGTTTCGTTCCAATTTTCAACCAAATCAAATGTATTTTTTTCGTAGTTTTTAGACCAGGCCTCAAGATGACTTTTTAAAAATTTCCAATCCCCAGAAGAAGTTTCCTCTCCTTAAAAGTCAGATTTTCCATAAAATACCCATTTTTTGTCCCTAACATATTTCTCTCTATAAAATACTTCTTTTTACGCATCTGTCTGAAAAAATGTCATTATTTCTAAAAGTCTCTCTCATGTCCATGTCCTTATATATTTTTAGCATATTTTATTTATAGAAGACCTTTTTCTATCAATAAAAGGACTCTGAAATATGTATGCCTATATTGACAACCATTTTTATCGAAAATTTTTTCTATTTATCAAAAGTCCTCTTCTTGTGATAGAAAACCATTTTATACTCAGGATAATTACATCCTTGAAAAAGTCCCTTGTCTCAAATGATTCTTCAATCGAACCTCTTCCATTTATTGAGCCCACATTCTACTTAAATACTATTTCCAAAATTTTCTATAAATCTTAATTTTAATTCTATAGAAGCGCTTATTTTTACTCCAAAGAATTCCCTCCTCTCAAAACATGTACTTTTTGTACATATTCTATGTTACCTCCTTATATCTACTTTTGAATATTTAATTTTTTATTAACATAATATTTTTTTCTTTCTTTTTTAGCCGAGAAAATCGATTTGGAAATTCTGGAAATGATAAAACTACATCACATACGCCCGCTACTCAGCAACTTCCCACTGGGCATACAAATTCGTTTTGAATATAATTTGGAACAGTGGCGTACAAAAATTGGCAAACCGCTGTATGGAACACATCGATGCTGCTGTCAAGGCAACGAGTTTGGTTGTCAAAAATCCTATGGCCATAATTATTTCAAGGCCCATAATGAATGTTCCATTGGCATTTCGAACGAATATCAAAATCAACAGCAGCAACATCCACGTAAAGTCATTATTGTACGACAAGATCTAGGAATGCCCCATGCAGTGGGTAATGAAGTGATGGTAACGCCGCCCGAAACACCAATGACCCATCGATCATTGGCCTCTACACACGGATCTTCGGGACAAAGTACATTTTCACACACCTCTAGCAGTGGTGGTGGTGATGGTGGCGATGATATCGCTAATAATTCTCCAGAGCACATACCATTTACCCTCAAACCTCTGTATCACATATCTGAGACGAACCTGCGAGATATCATATTAGATTGTAGACCCGAGGGTCCCATGCTAATGAAGAGTTATGCCGCAAAGAATGGTTTCAATCCACGCGAACGACGAAGTCTAATGAATATTATTGTCAACTACTTCATGCGTAATAATCAAAAATTCGATCTGCAAATTAGCTATCTTCTGGAGAATGCAATTTTGAAATTGTTTCCCAACGAAAACTTGGAAATGTATCGCAAAGGGAAACGGGGTAGTTTGTATTGCAAATATATGAACTACAAACATTCCCTGTTGTCGACCAGGAAACGAAAAAAACCCACGGATGATGGAACTGAGACGGGAAGTGATTTGGATTCTGTTTCACAACACGATCATAGCATGACAGATTGTGATATAGAAGAGAATGAAAGTGTGAATGTTATCAATGAGGCCATGGACGATTTGATTACCAATGGATCGGATGCGGGGAACCATGGTGTGGAACATGATGCCAGCGCTAAAGATAATTTCACTCTCGTTGAGCCAAAACTTGAAGTTGACACTGAGTATGTATAGAATGAAACGTTTCGTAGAGAAATAAGTAAAAGACTAATATCGTAAGACCCATCTGACAATGTCATAGAATTCACATAACATTCAACATGTCTGTACATAAATATTATTAAGTTAATAAACCTGGCTGCTCTTTTGACGATCGCTCATATTGTGTAGTTAAATAAAATAATTTACTTTTTGTAATTAATTTCCAAGACATTGGGGTTTGTAATGCGAAGTAATGTTCAATGACTAGATTAATACCAGAGACGAATAGAATTTTAGATATGCATGTCCTGAGCTCATATATTAACCAACTTTTTTAAGATTTTTCTAACCTAATCTAATTGATTAAATATTTTTTTATATTTTATACCCTACACCACATAGTGGTAAGGGTATTAGGTCTTTGTGCATTTGTTTGTAACATGGAGAAGGAAGCAATAGACCCATAGTTACTTTTGAGGATCTCCATAGAATCACATTCTGAGTTGATTTATGCATGTCAGTCCGTCCGTCTGTCCATGTATTCTTGTGAACAAAATGCAGGTCGCATTTATTATCCGATTGAGATGAAATTTTGCACAAATCATTTGTTTGGCCCAAGGACGAACCATATTGAAATTGGAGATAGATATAGCTCCCATATATATCTTCGTCCGATTTGCCTTTTTTGTGCACCAAACGTGTAATATCAGCCCGAATAGTATGGAATTTTGCACATACAACCAAATTGGGCCTGAAAATAAGTATGACAAAATTGATCGAAATCGGTTCAGATATAGCTATATATTGTTCATCCGATTTGTTATTTTTATCCTCCGCAGCCGTAATATGCACTCTGTAACAACAATATTTGGGGAAATTAACTTTGCACCAAATGGACAATACAAAATGATCCCTACCACATTTCTATTTACAAAAGTTCTATAAATGGTCTTCGATCTGAAATGCCTTCTTTCCTCAGGAGCATTTTGAATTTTCTTTTTCAGGAATTCGAAGTTTTTTAAACTTATTTTTCTTAAAAGATCTCCGAAGCGTTTTCTCCGTCCCCCTTTAGAGAAAATTTGTTGAACTTTTTGTTTCCAAAAAAAACTATGAAATTCCTTATCCTAAAATATCTTCCAGACATGACTTCTGAAAGTATTCTAGTGGCCATTCTATATACCGAAAATTGTCAAAAGTCTTCAAGACTCATGTGCCTTCAAGTGACCTTCCCATTACAGATGACATCTAAAGTGGCTTGTATGGCTATCTTTTTTTTAGTAAATGTCTCATAAGGAGTCCTCAAATTAATAAAGATACTCCTGGGGCTTTTTACCCCACAAAAAGACTTTCTAAAAAATCTTCTATTCATAGAAGGCCTTCCAAAGATACTCTGTCAACAACAGTACCCTACCGAAGAATCTTCCATCCCTTGAAAGCTTTTGAAGCATATTTTGATTTTCTATCTTTTCTATGTCCTATCCAAAAGACTTTCCACCCAGAATTGATTTCTTGGGTTCTATTTAAGACCAATGACGATTTTTTTATATCCTTCGCAAAAAAATTGTCCCTTTGTTCAATTCACGACAGATTTTTCCACGGACATTGATATTATTTGTAGGTTGTTTGGTATTTAAAATAAAGTATATCGGTCCTTATGACGGGACCTTCTGATTTTCGATATTTTTGAATTTTTTTTCCCAATTTTTATCCGAATATATAATTCGGTTAGTATTTATTCGTTTCAAAACAAATATTCAATGCAAATCCACTTTTGGTATGGGCCCAATGTGACGGTACCACCAGATTTTCCACATTTTGAAGGCTTCGTTACTAATTTCCAATCAAATCTGTTGTAATTTTACATGTCGGGTTCGCTGGGGTAAGATTTAATCCATTTTAAGTCCACTTTTTGGTATAGCTCCCGTACAATGTTACCTTCTGAATCGCAGTATTTTTGGAATATTTCTTTCTTTTCAATTTCCGACTAAATCAGCGGAGATTTTATTTTTTGCGTTCCTTCCAGAAAATTTATCTTCTCTCAAAAAATATTCAATGTAGGTTCACTTTTCGGCTTAGGCCGTCATACAACGGTACTCCTGATTTACGACACTTTAAAGGCTTCGACACCAATTTCCGACCAGATCTCCTGTAAATTAACATGTAGGACTCTCTGTGGTTAGATTTAATCCCTGCAAAAAAAAAAACATTCAATGTAGGCCCACTAACGGTACCTTGTGATTTTCGATAGCTTAAACATTTCGGTCTCAATTTCCAACCACATCCGCTGTAATCTTGTATTTCGGTTTCTTTATGGGTAAATTAACTACTCTCCAAAATATGCCTTACAGGTATAGCCCCCATATAATGGGAGTTCGAAATGTTAGGAATCTGTAAAAGATTTGGGTATAAGTCAAGTTTTAACATGGTGTAGGGAGGATACACAATTTTCGGCCTACCCAAATTTGTTGTGGTTTTTACATATCCTGTACTCTGAATGACTTTTACTTTATATATATATATATATATATATATATATATATATTCGACCTTTTGGGGGTCTTCAATTTCTAACATTCATCTGAAATATTTTCTATTCACAAAAGAACCGGAAAGGTTCTTGCCCCATAGATGAACTCTGAATGACCAAAAGAGGTAAAACGGCCTAGTTTTCCATTGAAGTTAAGAGATTTTCTTTTGACAATCCTTTTGGACATATGAGACCTCTTCTGTACTCAGAAACATTCTAAGGCGCTTTCCCTTCATACCGGACTTGTAAAAGTATTTTATACCAACAGAAAATTTTGTAGAAGTCTTTAAGAGGGTCTTTTTTCGCTTAATACCTCTGAAAGGCATACAATTCACCGAAGTGATTTTTCTACTAAGAAAACGAATTTAAGGGAGCCTTAACTCCTAGAGGAGATTTTTATCTAAAGTTGACTTGGAAAATTTTTTCTAAAAAAACATCCTTGGGCGAACTTTCGCCAAGTTTTGCTCTGTATTTTCTCCTCAAAGATCTACGGAGGGAATTCTATCAACAAAAGACCTCTTCTATTGTACTCAGGGAACTCTTTCAGTTCTTTTTATTTAAGTTATTTTTATCTTTTAGAAAGTCTCTGAAGATATTTTATTTATGAAAGGTTTTTGAGGAATCTTTTATCTATCTAAGTCCTCTTTCACAAGTCCTCTCTTAGAGCTAATAATTTACATAATTAGTTTCAGGTTTTAAATGGGTTTCATGTTATGATCCATTCTCATTCGTTTCATCAAATCTCTTTTTTTTCAATTTTATTAATTTTTTAAATAATTTTTTTTTTAGAATTCCAATCCGAACGGCCTATAGACTGCACAGAGAGGTTATTATCCTCAAGACTCCCTTTTCGTATAAGGATTTCTTGGAAAAAGGTAAATATATAAATCTATTCATGTATATATATATACATATATTTCAACTATCTAATGAGAATATTCTCTTCCAGCTTGTAATGCCTACAATATTCCCAATGTGGAGGAACACTATCTGGTGGTTAACGATTGTGAAATCAGTGAACATGAATTCAAAAATGTCATAATGCAATATTATAAGCTGGCAACATTTGTGGTGGAAATAAAACAGAGATGTAAGTAGAAGCAGAAAGAAAAGCACGAATCTTGGGTGAAGCCGACCACCTAATACCCTTTACATGCATATTAAGCAGACTAAACTTGACGGAGGTATTTTTATCGTACCAAATGCCATTGCTATAGAATGTATGTTATTCTAATCGGAACTTGATCGTACGATCCAAACTTATTTGAACAAACATAGCATAGTTGGTATATTGTTCCTCTACAAAGAAGCCAATCGATGACTTAAGCTCTTTATGTACCTACACTATTGGGTCCTTTTGATCGACAATCAGTAATCATCACAAAATTTTTGTTTTTGAGCTTAAATATACCCCTCAAAGGCTTATCCCCAAATGATTTTGCAAGCTTAATTTGAATTTTTCAAGCTTATCAATTTTTTGGAACACCAGACCGAGAACATTAAACTGCAAAGAAGACATTTAAAATTTTCTTTTTTCCAAAATACCTTCCATTTTCGAATATTTTCCTTGTAATAATTTCTTTTATAGGGCAAGGATAGGCGAAGATATTATGAATAATATATTCCTTCTAAACACTTCACTTACTCCTTTAATGTATCCCTCAAGGATACACATTTATATCCGTCTTTTCGCTTAGAACAATGTTCTTTTCAATATCTTTGAAGTTTCTAAAACTGACTAACCAACTAAATTTTTTTGAAAATTTCAATTTAGTTTTCAAATATTTTTTTCTTTCAGCTAACTTTCTCAGACGCTCCGATTCCAATAGTGGCGATAGTGTAAGTATGACTGAACTGAGGGAACACACCACAATTAGACAGGATCCAAATCATTTGCCCAGTGCTGAAGAAATACGTAACCTAACATCACTTCTACCCATAATTGCCCATGTAGATCTGGGTAAACCATTGGAAAATAAACATCGCAATGCAATAGCCAAGGCTGTGGTAGAGGAAACCTTAAGAGTACAACCGGATCGATGGTAAGTTTTTACAAAATGCAAACCCTTCCTCCACTCATGTGAATTCTGATTTCCTACCTCTACAGCATTAAACGCCAGGAGTTCATGATATTGGCCCACACTGTGTGCCAGGCGTTTCCCACGGAAGAGGAAACCACATATTTCATACCGGCCAAACCAAAGGCCCATCCAAAGGGTAAACTTTGGAGTGCATTTGTTAGTAAACGTACATTCCTCGTACAAAGTGGTGTGGCCAAAAAACGTTATAAAAGACGTAAAAACAATACGGAGGAGGATAATGAGGAGACCCAATCCACACACAGTCAACAGACTGAGGCAGAAGAACCCAGACATGTTGACTTTTCCGAAAATACCTCAATGGATTGGGATTATCTAATGGTAAAATGGATGGAAAGTCATGATAAACGTTGGCAGGAACTTGTTAAGGAAAAGCTAACACCGTCCGAGTATATGGAACGTTATTCAATATTGCGAAATGAAAGAGGCATAACGCTAATTGAAATTGATGTTAAAAATCGTTATCCCCAGGCCTTGACCATTGAAAATTGGTTAAATATTTATGCTAAAGTTTTTGAAAAAGCCAAAGGTATACGCCGAAAATTGGGTAATTCCAATAGTATTATAAGGGCCATAGAAGAGGCCCAGGATGAGAGTAAGTATTGGTTTGTAAAATTTAATGTTAATTGTGGTAACATTCATGCTTGTACTTTTTTCTGAGTGTACCCAACTTCCGCCAATGTTTTGTTCGATGAAGTATGAAAATGGAATACTTCTGTCCACTATATCTGTGACCTCACGCATATTTCCATATTTTCCAACAAATTGCACATATCTCATATAAAGTATAGCAAGTAGTCAATATAGTCCAAATTTATGTCAGTCTTAGGTCAGATACGAATTGGTCAACTTGGACCAACTGTTTCGGAACCTCCCCCATAAAGAGTCAACAGTTTGAATAATCATAACTCAAGGCTGGGGGTATACATCTGTCGTCAAAACCGACTGATACTATTTTAGTTGTTTTTATATCCTACATCACAAGGTGGTCAGGGTATTATGTCTTTGTGCATTTGTTTGTAACAGGCAAAAGGAAACGAGATAGACCCATAGTTTCTTTTGATGATCTGCAGAGAATCACATTCTGAGTCGATTTATGCATGTCCGTCCGTCCGGCCGTCTGTCCATGTATTTTTGTAAACAAAGTACAGTTCGCATTTATTGCCCTATCCATATGAAATTTTGCACAAATCATTTGTTTCGCCCAGGGACGAACCCTATTGAAATTGGAGATAATCGGCAAAATTTAGGTATAGCTCCCATATATATCTTCGTCCGATTTGCTTTTTATTGTGCACCAGACGTGTAATATCAGTCCGAATAGTATGGAATTTTGCACGTACGATCAGATTGGACCTGAAGTATGCCAAATTTGATCGAAATCGGTTCAGATATAGCTATAGCTCCCATATATATTGTTCATCCGATTTGTTATTTTTGTCCTCCGCAGCCGTAATAGAGTGCAGAGTGCACTCTGTAACAACAATATTTGGGGAAATATATCAAATACAGCTCAGAAATACATTTGCTAAATTTTATCGAGATGGGTTCAGATTTGGAAATATCTCCCATATATAACTTCGTCCGATTTATATTTTATTGTGCACCAAACGTCTAATATTTGCCCTAATGGGATGAAATTTGGCACTTACGACCGAATTGAGTCTAGAAGCTAGTATGTCAAATTTGGTGAAGATCGGTTCAGATATAGCTATAACTCCCATATATACTGTTCGTCCGATTTGTTATATTTGTTACCCACAGCCGTAATATGCACTCCGTAACAACGATATTCAGGGAAATATATCAAATACAGCTCAGAAATATCTTTGCCAAATTTTATCAAGATCGGTTCAGATTTGGATAAAGCTTCCATATATATTTTTATCCGATTTCAAATTAATTGTGCACCAAATGGGCAATATAAGTCCGAATTTAAAAGACACAAATGCTTCGGCATATTTAGTCCTTTGAACTTTAAATTATAATTATAATCATAGCGTGTATGATGGAATTCTCCCATAACAACTTTTAATTGTTATGTGGAGCTCTACTAAATTAGCAAAGTGGTGTAGGGTATCATAAAGTCGGCCCCGCCCGACTTTAAGACTTTCTTTACTGTTTTTTTTTTTTTTTAATTCTGACGGGAAATGGACATAACCTCAGGCCTACAATTCACTCAGTTTACGAACCAGCTTTACCTCGCTATTATATCATAATTTCAATAATTTTTAATTATAATTTTCTGAACTCTATCTTATTTTCAGAACATAAAGCTGGCCTATCGTTACTTCTTATACCCTACATAATACCCAGCAGTGGACGTAAAAGTGAACTTATTACTTCCAAAGCCACCAAAACTGAGTGCCAAGAACGATTTATGAAAGGTTATGGGGTAAGCTACAAAAAAAAAAAACTATAATTTAAAGTATTTCCTAAGTCTCCTTTCTTCACAGAGCCTGGATGAACTGCGTTCAGATCCCAAACCTGCCGATTTACAAATACGCTTTGTCCACAGTCATCACAGTGTGGTGTATGCTGAATTTAGTATAAGTGGTTTTTTATTCCAGTGTTCCGACCTAATGGAAGCCCTGAGTTTCCTCTTCCACTATATGTTGGCGATGAATATACGTTATCCCCAGACTTGTCTGCAGGTATGGCAATTCATACAATTGGCCATATTTCACATTGAAGTGGAAAAGGATAAAATGCCATATGTTGAGAGTACCATTGTTGATTTACATTTAAACTAGAGACTGTTAAGAGAAAGAGAGAGGGAGCCAAAGCCAAAAGAGTTCAAAAATAAGATAATGTACAGTTGAGACTTGATGAGATAATACAGGGTGAGATAAAAAAACTGCAAAAAAGTCAAGCGCCATAATTTTTACATTTTTTTTAAATTTTTTAGAATGAAAGCAAAATTTCGGAAATAGCATCAAATTTTAGAATAACTTTAGATTTGTTCGAATTGGTCACCTTTGGTACGAATTATGGCTTTCAAACGGCCAATGAAACCGTCACACGCTGTCCGAATGTTGCTCTGCGGTATTTTGGCCCATTCCCGGCGAAGCCCTTGCTTGAGGTGATCGACATTTTGGAATTTTTGTAGTGCCAACCTTGCTTTCCAAAATACTCCAGACACAATAGTCCAACGGATTAGTATCCGGAGATTTTGGTGGCCATTGTGCGATGGAAATGAAGCCAGGAACCTTATTTTGTAACCATTCTTGGGTGGCACCTGCTGAGTGCGATGGTGCTGAGTCCAAGTCTTTAATACACCCTCCAGAATATTTTCGCGATAATATTCAGCATTTTTTTTTTGAATCGATCGTGGCGATGAGCGACCATCGGCAGTTATGGCGGCCCACACCACACACCATTACCATGGCCGGATTGAGGCTTGAGTTCTGGTGGCCAACCGAAGGTGCACATTTTCAGCTGACCTCTTTGGCAAGTAAACACGATTGTTTACAAACTGCTGGACAACGAATATTTTCTCATCGGAGAAAGCCAAATTCGGCAGTTCACCACTTTCGGCCAAGCGAAGCAACTCTTTAGCTCTTTTGAGTCTATTTTCTTTCTGTTGCGGTGCAAGTTCTTGTACTTTTTGGAATTTCAATGGCTTTACCCCAAACTCATTTTTCAATATTGCGATATTTTCAGCTCACGAGCCATCTTTCGGCCACAGCGACGCGGGTTTCCATCAAGTCGCTTTTTTTACTTATCGAACCATTTCCAATTCCTTGACGTCGGGCTACTGTAACGAGCGATGATGGTACGAGACACAAAAAATTTATTCACATTTAAATGCTGGAGTGCTCTAGCGATAGTCACTTGTCGCTTTCCAGCCAAATATAAAGAAATCACACTATCACACTTGAATTCCATCATGAATAATTTTTTTTTTCTGGAGAATTCTCATCAAAATAGTTTTGAACGCTTGTAAACAATATAATGAGCTGTCATTGGTATAATTTTTACTGCTGTCGGACGAGTGGCTTAAAAGTGACAGCAGTCTGAAGTTGGTTGCAGTTTTTTCATCTCAGCCTGTATATGCAAATTTATTGTGGCTTTATTCTTTGAAGATATCACTGCGAGTTTTAACATGGTGGAGGGTATACAAATATCGCTTTGACCAATTTTACTGTCGTTTTTACTTGCCCTGTACTCAGAAGACCTTTAAGGTCCGCTGAATCACCTTAACTTCAAACATGACTATAAAAAGATATTATATCCATAGGTAAAGGATTTCTGTTTTTAACATGGTGGAGGGTATACAAATGTCGCCCTGACAAATTTTATTGTCGTTTTCACTTACCCAGTACTCAGAAGACCTTCAAAGTCCACTGAATCACCTTAACTTCAAACATGACTTTAAAAGGATATTATATTCATAGGAGACTATTAAAGGATTTCTGTTAATTGAATGACCTGTAGAGGTATAACGACCTTATTTTATATTGAAGTCCTATTAAGCGGTTTGTTGTTCATTAATAGGTAGTTAATTGATCATTGGGATAAAAGTGAAATCAAAAAAATCAAAAAAGTCTTTTTATAAAAATAAAATTGATCCCTAACCAAGTTTCAGTTAATGCAATCAAAGTTTTTGTATTATATTTAATTATTTCAAAAAACATTAATCGTGTTTTAACCAGTTGAGTCCAAAGATTACTGTTGTTAAAATTATCAACCCCCAAGACACAGATCTTTTTTTCATAATCTTTAAATTTGTCTTATGCTATCAAGTAGCAGATCAATTCGTTTAAATATTTCCATCAATGATTCTTTCTAACTTATACCACTACATGCGAAAAATATGCTCGCTCAGAAACTAGTCAGACATACTTAAGTATACTAATCTCTTTATTCACCGGTATTGATCGAATTAAAAACCCCATATAAAATAAAAATAAAAAATGAATTAGAGTAGTATTTTGGAAAGCCGAAACTCTTTGCTTACACTAGCTTTCCTTTATTTTTTATCTATAATTGAAGAAGAGAAAAATATATACCAAATATTTACAAATATTTTTAAACTCCCGTAAATGTGCCTATATTATTATACCAAGAATTATGTTTAGAATCTAATTATGTTTACGATTGGTCTGTTCCAGAAACTGCAAGAATCTACAAGTTTCGAAATTTGTTCGATATCATAAAGGAAAAAAATCTGTTTTTGTCTTGCAAATTCTGAAATAGAAGATACATATAAATTTTGATTATAGTAATTATTTGTAAAGCCTCAGATGAATCCCTTAATGACCTAAATCCAAACAATCTAAAACATAAGAAAGAATTAAAAAAAATATTTTTTGAAATTTGAAAATATTTAAGAATGTTATATTTATGTAGTGTTGTAGAATGTTGAAACTCTCTAATTATAAACTTTTTCCCTTACATCTTAAATTATAACTTTATAAGAAATACTCAAAGAAATGCCAAATATTTACAAATGTTAATAAACTCCCATGAATGTGCCCTTATTACTGTACCAAATATTTTGTTTAGAAGCTAATTATTATTACGATTGCCTTATAAACTATGTTTATAAATATGTTTTTTTCATATACATATATGTATGTACCCTTGAGATATAAGTTTTTTTATAAATTAAATATGTTTGCCTTAAGAAGCTCTTTGATGCTCGAAAATCAATTGGACCCAAAGTGGAATTGATTATTTAATAGATAAAAAGATTGTAAACAAATAAAATGTAATATAAAATGTAACATTTTTTTCTTTGACCATTCGCATGGATGGAGACACACCATAACATGAACAAAAATATTGATATTCCGTTTGTAATGTCAATGAATACTCTTATTGGATCCGTTATGTGCCCATCTAGAAACCATTGCAAAGTTGGAAGTGTAGAAGTTAAACCTCTGAAATTTGATGCAGATAATCATGCAACACTTCTAAATAAATATTTTATTTTTCATAAACGATTATAGTTGATAGCTATTGTCTACAAGATCAAACATTGTAAGTCATGAAAAGTTTCAAAAATTATAGGTGTCACGATCCCGGGAAAAAGAAATATTCTCTTAAATGCTAAATTCTCTTAAAAAATACCAAAATTTCAGGAGAGGTGAAATCTTGGGAAAACTATTATTCGAAAAATTCAAAATTTTAACTACGCAATTCCTGAAAAACTAAAAAAAAAACGGTGTCGTCTATAACAAAATATTATTAAATAACCCTCTATTATTATTGTTATAGTTCTTGAATAGATATTGTTAAAAAAGGTGACCGATTGTAAGGGTTCAGAAAAAATATTTTGGGAAATAATAGCATACTTGGGAAAAATATTCTTCGAAAAATTAAAAATTTTAGCTACGCCATTCCTGAAAAACTAAAAAAATCGGTTTCGTCTATAACAAAATATTATTAAAAAAATCCGCTATTATTATTGTGATAGTCCTTGAATAGATATTGTTAAAAAAAATGTGACCGATTGTGAGGGCTCTTAAAAACATATTTTTAACAAAATCCAAGATTACTGTTGCTGTTGAAAAAATTCGTTGAAAATCCACAATTTTTATAGTACTTGAATAATATGTTTTAACAAATTCACGATTACGATAGTCATTGAAAAATATTTTTTATAAGGTCCCTGAATGTGAGGTTCTTCAAAAATATTCTTTAAAAAATCCGCAATTGTGATGGTCCTTGATAAGAAACCTTTAGACCATCCCCGGTTGCGATGTTCCTTTAAAAATATTCTTAAAAAACTGCGTTTGTAATAGTTTTCAAAAAGTATTCTTCGAAAAATCTGCGGTTATTTTTGAAAAATATTCCTTAAAAAATTAAAAAATATTCGGTCGGTTTTGCCGACAGATGTATACTCTCAGCAAATATCCAATGAATAAAGTATTTTTTAACTTGCGATATGATCTAAATGTTAATTAAATGTTCTAAATTCTATACGGGGCGGTTTTGAAGTAGAGACCAACATTACATATATCTTATCTGATCTATGTCTGATATAATTGTAAGAACATTTCATACTTATAGAATTAGTGGTATGTGTAAAGACAAACAAACATTTGTTTCCAATTTTATGCGAACAATTGTTAATCAAAATTTTGACCTTTCGTGGGGAAGGTACCAGCTGGTGTGAACCGAAATCTACCATCTTCACACCAGATCTTGTGTTAGTGGAAATATGTCTGGAGTTTAGAGAGAATCAGATGATTATTTCGCATTTTGTGAAAGTTAAAATGATCCAAAAGTTTGACCAGTTGTGGGTGAGATACCAGATAGAGTGGTCCGATTTATTCCAACTTTTTACCGGATCTTGCATTGAAAAATATGTTGGGATGTGTGAAATGTGAAGAGAATAATTACTCAAACCCGTTGTAAGAGAGGTTCAAGTAGTCCGATATATTACATCTTTAAACCTGATCTTGTATTGATAGGAACAATGGGCTATGCCGAGTTTCAAAGTAATCGGATGTTCATTTTGCGTTTTATTCGATTCATGGTTATTCAAAATATTGACCCATTGTGGGGGAGGTGTCAGAAGGAGTTGTCCGCTCTATCCGTTTTTCTTACCAGATCTTGTGTTGGTAGAAATGTTGAGATTTGCGAAATTTAAAAGCAATCGGACTCTTATTTAACACTCTATGAGAGTTATAGTTATTCAAAATGTTAACCCTTTCTGGGGGAACTACTTAATGGAATAGGCCGATATTTTCCATTTCTTAAACTGACATAGAACTAATAAAACTATAAGGATTTGTTAAGTTTGAGGTTTATTTTGTTCTTTAAAAATTTTGTGTGTGTGTGTGGGGGGGTGTTGTTCCGGAAGGAGTGAACCGATATTGGCCATTTCCGAATCCGATCTAAGTTTGATAATAATATTAAGATTTATCAAGTTTGGTCGAAATCGGAGAGTTATCGTGCGCACTAACCAGCCCGACAGACCTCTAAATCGACCCCAAATGTCCTGAAACGGATTTAGTCCAAAGAGACTTAGCGTCTAGACCTTTTTTTCAATGAAACTAATTTTGGTCTTATCAAATGATATATACCCTCTCTAGCCACATGGCTGAGGGTTTAAAAAACATTCTTTACAAAATCTAAGATTGTGTTAATTTTTAAAGATATATTTTTTAAATATTCCGGGATTGTGGTGCTCCTTTAAAATATTTTTTTAAATATCCGCAAAAAAATCTGTAAAAAATCTACGATTGTTATAGTCTTTACACAATCTTGTTAAAAATCCACAATTGTGATTGTCTTTTAAATATATGCTATGACAAATTCACTATAGTAAGATATCCTTAAAAATATTATTTCAAAATGTCAGGATTGAAGCGGATATACATAAAACTCCAAGAATTTTTGTGGTCTTAGAATGGGTCTGACTCTAACTACTTTTTTTAATATTGTATTTTTTTTTTTTTGAAATTTAATAATTAAATATTAGTCAATATTTCACATTTTTGTACGAACCTTAGTACAATGTAATCCGTTAATTTTCGGTTTTTTTTTTAATGTTTAGCCGCGACATCTGACATCTAGATTCACTGTTTGAATAGCCCCATAGGTTTGTAATGTTACCTCCTGAATTTAAGTTTTTTTGAACATTTCTCCAAAATTTTCCAAATGAATCAGCTGTACTTTGATCCAGTATAGCGGCTATATAGATTCACTTTTAGGTCTACCCTCACATTCAATGTTGCCTCTTGATTTAATTTTTTCTTAACTTTTCAACTAAAATATCCATAAGTAATTTGAAATTTGACAGCTATTGTTTGACATTTAGATCCACCATTTGAATGTATCCATTGATGTGGTACCACCCGACTAAACGATTTCTAACGAGTTTTGCAAGTTGCAATTCTTAATGGGTAGAAGGACCCTCCTCGAAACATATTTGTCTATGGAAAATTGCTATTTTCCCCGCTTAGATTCCAAAAACAAAATCCACTGTTTAATATTTTCAATTCAGTATTTTTTAATACCTAACGGAGTTGTACATAAAGTGGCTCAAAACATAGATCAGAACCCGGCTTCTCGGTAAATTCAAACATTTCATGATGGCCTTTCAGAACCACATCACAGGTTTTTGGGGACTGAAATGAAGATGAAAAAAATAACAACTTTAATTTAAAAAAAATAAACTTTTTCAATTCTCAAAACTTACATTCGATCTCGGTTGACCCTCACCCTCGGGTGAGGAATTCCTTGATCTTCTGGAGAAATTTTGCCAAAAATTCAGTCTCAATGGTGTGCTTCGCCCAGCACCTAAGAGTGCTGCATTCAAGTGTATATTCTGATCCGGCAGGCGACAGCTTTCCAATGAAATTTCCTCCACCTGGGGTATATTCTGTAGAAGTTCCCCCACATCCACTGTGGTGAAATCGCAACTTTTAAAACGCAATATTCTCAACTCATCCAACAGATGCAGAGACTTTACAACATTAATGGGCAGGACATTATCATCATTTATGATGCACAGCTCATGGACATTCATGCGCATCTCCAGACAATTTGCCAGGACATTTTTGACATTCGCCTCCACCTTGAGGATATCCTTGGCTTTCCACACCGAGAGTATGACATCGAATAGCTGTCGTGGATTATATTGATTCGTGATGTAAAGATGTTTCAACTGGGGCAGGGGTTTGGAGAGGAAATAATAAAATTCATAGGTATTCAGGCGTAAATATTTCAAACTCTCCAAATGGGCTTGCTTCAAATCCAACTGTTCGTATTGTTTACTCAGAGGGAACATGTTCAAGTCCAAATGTTCCAAATGCAAATTACGCATAATATTGTGGAAATGTTCCAATTCCAATTTGTAACAATAGCAGAGATTCAATTCCTTCAAATTCGACCATGAATCCAGGTACTTTCCACTCAAATTGCCGTGGGGACTGAACACCTGCAGATTGGGAAACATGCGATTCAAATCGAGAATATCTTCATCTTTCATAAAACAGGGATGTATTGTGAGGCGTACTGAACGCACACGGGGATAGATGAACTTCTTTAATATTCCATATTTGTGTTCATCCAGAAAACGCAACTCGAATGATTCGGCAATCGGACTAATGGCACTGAAGAAGATTTCCAATTCTTTGTCATTGAGTTCTCTTTCCAGGAAATAGATTTTATTGTTTTTGTACTTGCTGGCCCACAGAGAGAGAATTGTTTCTTCGAAATATCTATTCACCTGCAGCATGGCTATTTGGTCTTTGAGACTTAGCTGGGCGGCAATTTCCCGCAAGCAATCGGGATTAAGGACCTCCATGGTGAGTTGAATGCTGAAAGGAGAAAATGGAATTTTAATTGAATTGGAAATACAGAAATAATGAGGCAATTTAGATAAAAATCTCTGATTTGTTTCGAATGTTATGAGAGAGCACTTTCACCATTTGTGGGGGAGGTATCGGTAGGAGTGGTCCGATATCCATCAAATTCACACCAAATCTTGTGTAAGTGGAAATATTGGAATGTGTGAAATTTGAAGAGAGTCGGGTGTTTATTTAGCATTTTATGAGCATTTTGATTATTAAAAATTTCTGACCCATTTGTGGGGGAGGTACCAGAGGGGGTAGGCCGATATATTCCAAAGTCCCAGCAGATCTTGCGTTGATGAAAAAATTGGGATGTGTGAAATTTTAAGAGAATCGGACGTATATTTTACATTTCATGACCGAATTGGTTATTAAAAAAAATTTTGACCACTTTGTGGGGGAGGTACCGGAAGAGATGGATCGATATACTCCATCTTCACACCATATCTTGAGCTAGTAGAAATATTAGAATGTGTGAAATTTGAAGAGAATCGGAAGTTTATTTTGCATTTTATGAGAATTATATTTATTCAAAAATTTGACCCCCTTGTGGGGGAGGTACCAGAAGGAGGGGTCCGATATGTTCCATCTTCATACCAGATCTTGTGTTGACAGAAATATTGGAATGTGTGAGATTTGAAGAGAATCTGATGCATATTTCGCATTTTATGAGCGTTTTAATTCTTCCAAATTTAGCCCCTTTGTGGGGGAGGTACCAGAAGGAGGGGTCCGAGGTATTCCATCTTCACGCCAGATATTTTACTGGTAATAATATTATGATTTGTGAAATTTTAAGAAAATCGAATGCTTATTTCTTATTTTATGAGTGTTTTGATTATTCCAAATTTTGACCCCTTTGTGTGGGAGGTACCAGAACGGCTCGACCGATTTACATAATCTTGTTTTCATAAATAATCTTGTTTTCATAAAAATATTGAGATGTGTAGAATTTGAGAAGAATCGGATGCTTATTTTATATTTTATGAGTGTTTTGATTATTCAAAATTTTGACCCCTTTGTGGGGAAGGTACCAGAAGGGGTGAACCGATATATCCAATCTTTACAAAAGATTTTGTATTAGTAAAAATATTGAGATGTGTGGAATTTGAAGAGAATTCTAAACTTATTTCTCATTTTATGAGCGTTTTGGTTTTTCAAAATTTTGACCCCTTGATGGGGGAGGTACAAGAAGAAGGGGTCCGATATCCATCATCTTCACACCAGATCTGGTGCTAGCAAAAATATTGGAATGTGTGAAATTTTAAAAGAATTCGAAGCGTATTTTTCATTTTATGAGTGTTTTGATTATTCAAAATTTTGACCCCTTTGTGGGGGAGGTACCAGCAGAGGTGGACCAACATTCATCATCTTCACACCCGATCTTATGTTAATAAAAATATTGCGATGTATTAAATTTGAAGAGAATGGGACGCCTATTTTCAATTTTATGAGCATTATTGTTTTTCAAAATTTTCACCCTTTGGTGGGGGGGGGGGGGGGGGGGATACCAGCAGGACCAGCCTCTTTAAATAAAAAATCCCGATATTTTTTTTTTTAAATCCAAGCTAGACCTTTAAAAATCAATGATAGTGTTTTGAAAAAATACTCCCTTAAAAATCCACATTTTTTAAATAAGTGAAAAAATGTCAAACCAGCCTATTAAACCAACCTTCTGAATGACCTCCACATTTACATGACCAAAAAATTGATTTTTAAATATTAACGGTTTGCAAATATTGCAAGGTTTCAAAAGTTCGTCACGGCCGATCTTACAAATATCGTAAATCAAATTCATTTTGAAAAACTCACATGTACACTGCGGAGCATTTATGTATGTGTTGGTATATAAATCGCTTTTCTGTCTTCAATTTCCAGGTTTTTCATTCCAATTCACAACAACTACTGATTATTGAATAATTTGGAGAGTCATACGACCTCATGTCATTCGAATTAACACCAAAAAAAACGAAGCGACAACAAATAACTATAATTTCTGTGTGAATCGATTTGAAGTTGATTTTAAAGTCAAACTCTGACAACGACTAATGAAGCGTTGCCTTTTGTTATTCTCTGATTTTATTTGCACTTCATGCTAAGCTTTCGAGTTTTTGTTTGTTGTTTTTTTTTTTTTTTTTGAGCTAAGCTGATGCAGTTTGTCATCAGAGAATCGAGAATCAGTCAAGAATAGAATAGAAAAAAAAAAAATAAATAAAAAAAAGAAAAACAACTAAAGCTTTTTTTCGGTTAATTAATTCTAAACTTGGTTTTGTAATTCCAGTTTTGTGATTGTTGTTTGGCGGTGGCATGTTTACAGAATGTCAGCATTTCAATGTCAATGAACAATGAAACAAAAACACACATTTTATTGTTTTAGTTGTTGTTGTATGTTGTGAGAACCCTTTTTTGTAATCATTGTGAGACGTATAATGTAGTTTTGAGACGTTCTAAAAAATACCTAACTGATCCGACGGAGTGAATAAGTCTGAGCAGGCTTATCTGAGTTATGATACTATTTAAATACTTTGTGGCTAGAACACACATAATGTTAGAGTCATATGAAAAATGATTTTTTTTACAATTATTGCAATAGCCTTTTTGTAGCATACTTTTAGGCCCTCGCCAGAATTTTTTATCTAAAGATCTCTATAGTGTAAATTAATATAAATATATTAAAAGTAAAGAATAAATAAAATATAAAGAAGTTAAAAAGTGTCAGTCGGTTCTGTCTACAGATGTATATTCTTAGCCAATGTTCGATTATTTAAATATATTTTGACTTATGTTATGATTGATTCTCTATGGAGTAGATCCGAAGGAATAGACCATTTCGTATCGGACCTAAAAAAATATGATATAAATATTGTTATGTGCCGGATTTGGACTCTATCGACTACTTCCTTAACTTTATATAAGATATGTGATAATTTTTAGAACATGTTAAAATGTCCGTGATATATTCGAGCGAAGTATTCAATTTTCATACTTTATCTAATAAAAAAAATAAAACCAGTGAAGAAAGTCCTAAAGTCGGGCGGGGCCGACTTTATGATACCCTACTCCATTTTGCTAATTTAGTAGAGCTCCACATAACAACTAAAAGTTTTTATGGGAGAATTCAATCATACACACTATGATTATAATTGTATTGCCCATTTGGTGCAAAATTAATTTGAAATCAGATAAAGATATATATGGGAGCTATACCCAAATCTGTACCGATCTTGATAAAATTTGGCTAAGATATTTCTGAGCTGTATTTCATATATTTCCCTGAATAAAGTTGTTACGGTGAGCATATTACGGCTGTGGGTAACAAATACAACAAATCGGATGAAATGGGAGCTATAGCTATATCTCAAGCGATCTTCACCAAATTCGGCATACTAACTTCTAGAACCGAATGGGTCGCATGTGCCAAATTCCATCCCATTTGGGCAAATATAAGACGTTTGGTGTACAATAAAATTTAAATCGTACGAAGTTATATATGGGAGCTATATCCAAATCTGAACCGATCTCGATAAAATTTAGCAAAGGTATTTCTGAGCTGTATTTGATATATTTCCCCAAATATTGTTGTTACAGAGTGCATATTACGCCTGCGGAGGACAAAAATAACAAATCGGATGAACAATATATATGGGAGCTATATCTATATCTGAACCAATTTCGATCAAATTTGGCATACTTATTTGCAGGCCTAATTTGGTTGTATGTGCAAAATTCCATACTATTCGGGCTGATATTACACGTTTGGTGCACAATAAAAGGCAAATCGGACGAAGATATACATGGGAGCTATATCTAAATTTTTACCGAAAAACAAATGATTTGTGCCAAATTTCATCTCAATCGGATAATAAATGCGACCTGCATTTTGTTCACAAGAATACATGGACAGACGGACGGACTGACATGCATAAATCAACTCAGAAAGTGATTCTATGGAGATCCTCAGAAGTAACTATGGGTCTATCTGCTTCCTTCTCCATGTCAAAAAATAAATGCACAAATACATAATACCCTTACCACTAAGTGGTGTAGGGTATAAAAATATTGGTATGGGCAAAATTACAAGAAAACCGAACATTAATATATAATATTCCTCACCTCAGGTTTCTGGTTGAGAGAAATAATTAGATATAGGAAGTGGTAAAGAATGGCTGACTTGTTTCGCATGTTATGACAGATGAAAATATTGGAAATTGTGACCCTTTGTGGGTGAGGTACCAGATTCGGGGTTTTTAATTTTTTTTAATGAAAGCAAAGAATGTCGGAAATAGCATCAAATTTTAGAATAAATTTAGATTTGTTTGAATTGGTCACCTTTAGCACGAATTATGGCCTTCAAATGGCCAATGAAACCGTCACACCCTGCTCGAATGTTGCTCTGCGGTATTTTGGCCCATTCCTGAAGTAAAGCGCTTGCTTGAGGTGATCAACACTTTGGTATTTTTTAATGTCAACCTAGCTTTCCAAAATACTCCAGACTCAATAGTCCAACGGATTGGTATCCGGGGATTTCGGCGGCCATTGTGCGCTGAAGCGAGGAACCTCATTTTGTAACCATTCTTGGGTTACGCGTGGTGCTGAGTCCTGTTGGAATGTCCAAGGTCTGCGGCCAAAATGTTTGCGTGCCCAAGGCTTTAATACACCCTCCAGAATATTTTCGCCATAATATTCGGCATTTATTCTGATGCCACGGTCGATTAATACGAACGGAGAGCGATCATTGGCTGTTACGGCGGTCCACACCACACCATCTCCATGGCCGGTTCGAGGCTTCAGTTCTGGTGGCCAACCGAAGGTGCACATTTTCAGCTGACCTCTTTGACAAGTAAACACGATCATTTTGTTTGTTTACAAACTGCTGGACAACGAATGTTTTCTCATCGGAGAAAACCAAATTCGGCAGTTCACCGCTTTCGGTCAAGCGATGCAACTCCTTAGCTCTTTTGAGTCTATTTTATTTCTGTTGCGGTGTAAGTTCTTGCACTTTTTGGAATTTCAATGACTTTACCCAGAGCTCATTTTTCAATATTTGCCAAATGGAATATTTCGATATGTTCAGCTCATGAGGCATTTTTCGGCCACTGCGACGCGGGATTCGATCAAGTCGCTTCTTTACTTTTCACACCATTTCTGCTGATGTTGCTCTTTTCTTCCGTCTATTTCCTTGACCTCGGGCTACGCTACCAATATCACGGTAACGAGCGATGGTACGAGACACAAAAGATTTATTCACATTTAAATGCTGGAGTGCTCTAACGATAGCCACTTGTGGTTTTCCAGCCAAATATAAAGCCAAATATAAAGAAGATAAAGAACTCACATTATCACGCTTGAATTCCATCACGAATAATATTTTTTCTGAAAAATTCTCACCAAAATGCTTTTGTACGCTTGTAAACAATATAATGAGCTGTCACTGGAATAATTTTAACAGCTGCTAGACGAGTGGCTTAGAAATGACAGCAGTCTTAAATTGGTTGCAGTTTTTTCATCTCACCCTGCACCCTCTCTAGCCATATGGCTGATGGTACAAAAGTTATAAGTGCATTTCTAGTATGATAAAGTGTATATTTTATTTTTTTGCGTTACTTAAAAAAGTTTAAGGATTGTTGGATGCCCCTCAAAGTATGCTATACAAATGTTAAGTAAAATATGTAATCGGGCCTTTAGTGAATATAATGTGTAAAATTGTATAATTTGTTGATACCCCCATATATTACGATCATGCGGAGTTTTTCCATTCAATACATTGCAATAAGTCTCTCATGTCAATAGTCTTCAAAAAAAAAAAAGATCGCAGTCACCTATAATCAACCCCATTGGTCAACAATGTGACAATCTCCCCGTACAGTGATTTTGGACATGTCTAACATTCCCCTCCCCCCACCATTCATAATTTCCCATTAAATACATTTAATTCCCATGCCATTACAATCAAACAAATCATTTTATCGGCGGCGAAAATATCTTGCAATTTCCTTGAAATACCCTAGATCCCCCTACTACGACTCCATAAATAACCCCGAACAGATGTTCAAACAACATTTGATAAGAATGTGAACAGTCCGTTCACAAAACTTAATTCGCGGCTGATAAAAAAAAGGAGGCGACCTCCAATGGCAACAACAAATGCAGCACAAAAATCGTGATAACAAAAAAACAAATGAGAAAAACAAATAATGAAAATTAATTCTCTATTAGATACGAGGCTATTGCGATTGCAAACAAAAGCTCTCAACTATTTGTTGTTGCAATCTGAAGTATTCTTAAGGTCAATTGTTTACACATCATGTTAGAGTCATGTGGAAAGTGATTTTTTTCCTTACTTAGATTTGGTAATAATTATAGCATACTTTTAGACGCTTCCCCTGAATTTTTAATCATAAAGGAAACACCAAGGTACAACTCTTTCTAGGTAAACTTATTTCAAACAATAATATTGCATTTTCTTATGTTGTCAAATTTTACTTCACTGAAACCAAGTTCCCATCTATGATTAATGTACTTTCACTTTATTTTATTTATTTATTTTTTTTTTTTTTTTGAATATTCATTTTTGCAATTAGATGTTGTCAAATATATTATTTTGAAAAAATTGCAAAAATTAAAAATTACGCAAATTTACCTTCTTAATTCTACTATGGGAAACGTTGCGAAGGCATACAGTAAATATGATAGTTATTTTTGTGGTGCGCAAAAAATTATCTTAATGTTTTTTTATTGACAAAAGAAAAAAAAGAGAGGCTTAAGGAGACTTTCCAATGAAAAAAAAAAACATTTGAAAAACTTTTCATGTACAGAAGTCCTCCTAGAGGACTTAAGGATAGTTTACACATTGTCAAAGTCATATGCAAAGTGATTCTTCAAATATAATATTCTTAAAGTATACTTATAGGCGCTCCCACAATTTTTAAAACAAAAAAGGGGACATTTGGAAGTATTTCATAAATAAATAATATCATTTATAGCATAATTATATTCTACTTGCAAGTGATCACAACTTCGTCAGCGAGAAGTCCACCTTAGAATTTTAGATTCGTGT